GAGGCACCGTACCTGGCTGTGTTTATCTCTTGAATGCTATGGTGGGAAGGCAAAGAAATCTAGCAACAGGTGAAAGTTAAAGACTTTAGCTATGGAAGGAGTTAAAAGCAGCTTGCATTATGATGCATTTACCCCCTTACTACAGGGTTGCCCTGTAGGAGAAAGAAAAAGGCAAATTAATCTCCATATTAACTGGATTTTGTGTAAATAGATGCATGATACTGTCTAGGAGGAAGAGAATTGAAAGACTGAATGCACTTACAAGATATCCCTGGCCAAAGGATTATTTATGGTAAATAAACCCATAATCTAGGAAGCATGATTCCATAGCTAAAGCAATTATCTGAGTTATAAAATGAAGTCTATTGGGTGACCTAAGACCCTGGTTACAGACTTCATCTGTAATCGTGGGGCAGAGGGTGTATTTGTTTACTAAGGCTGCCATGACGAAATACCGCTGACTGGTTGGCTTAAACAATAGTTTAATTTATCACAGTTCTGGAGGATAAAAGTGCAAGATCAAGATGTTGGCAGGTTTAGTTTCTTCTGAAGCCTCTCTCCTTGGCTTGAAGACAGCAAGTGTCCTCACTTGATCTCACTGTGTCCTCACATGGTTCCCCTAGATCTGTGTTTTATTGGTCCTAATCTCCTCTTCTACGGATACCAGGATTGAATATTAGTCATATTGGATAAGGGCTTGCCCATATGATTTCATTTTGGCCCTATCTCCAAATACAGTCACATTCTGAGGTACTGACAGTTAGGGCTTCAACATATAAATTTTTATTGATTTATTATTAATTTATAATATTTGTACATATTTATGGAGTACATGTGATATTTTGATACATGCATACAATGTGTAATGATCAAATTAGGGTTTTTAGGATATTCATCACCCAGAACATTTATGATTGTTTTGTGTTGGAAACATTTCAAATCTTCTCTTCTAGCTTTTTGTTTGTTTTTGGTTTTGGTTTTGTTTTGTTTTTGTTTTGGAATAGGATCTCACTCTGTCTCCCAAGCTAGAATGCAGTGGTGTGATTATAGCTCACTGAAGCCTCAAACTCATGGGCCCAAGTGATCCTCAGACCTCAACCTCAACCTCATGGGTATGTAGATTTATAGGTGTACACCACATCCAGATAATTTTTCAAATTTTTTTTTTTTTTTTTTTTCCAAGACAGAGTCTTGCTCTGTCTCCCAGGCTGGAGTGCAGTGGTGCGAGCTCAGCTCACTGCAACCTCCGCCTTCCCAGTTCAAGTGATTCTCCTGTCTCAGCCTCCCTGGTAGCTGGGATTACAGATGCATGCCACCATGCTTGGCCAATTTTTGTATTTTCAGTAGAGACGGGGTTTCACCAATTTTTCAAGTTTTTGTAGAGATGGGGTCTCACTATGTTGTCCAGGATGGTTTCGAACTTCTGGCCTCAAGTGATCCTGCTGCATCAACCCCACAAAGTGCTGGAATCACAGGTGTGAGTCACTGCATCTGGCCACTATTTTGAAATACACGATATAGTGCTGTTAACTATAGTCACCCAACTGTGCTATCAAATACTATTATTTAGCTATTATTTATTCCTTCTATCTAACTACATGTTCATACCCAATCTCTCTTCATTTCTGCCCCCTATCATTCTACTCTTTATGAGACCAAATTTTTAGCTCCCACATCTGAGTGAGAACATGTGATACTTTTCTTTCTGTGTCTAGTTCATTTCACTTGACATAATGACCTCAAGTTCCATCCATGTTGCTACAGATGACAGGATTTCATCCTTTTTTTATGACCAAACAGTATTTTATTGTGTATATGTACACATTTTCTTTGTCCCTTCATCCAGTAATGGATACTCAAGTTGATTCCATATTTTGGTTATTGCGAATAGTGCTGCAATAAACATGTGGGTACAGGTGTTCCTTTGACATACTGATTTCATTTCTTTTGTGTTGCGGGAAGTGAGGGACCCTGAATGGAGGGACTGGCTGGAGCCGCAGCAGAGGAACATAAATTGTGAAGATTTCGTGGACATTTATTTGTTCCCAAAATTAACACTTTTATAATTTCTTACGTCTGTCTTTACTGCAATCTCTGAATGTAAATTGTGAAGATTTCATGGACATTTATCAGTTCCCAAATAATACTCATAATTTCTTATGCTGTCTTTACTTTAACCTCTTAATCCTGTTATCTTCATAAGCTGAGAATGTATGGCACCTGAGGACCACTATTGTACAAATTGATTGTAAAACGTGTGTTTGAACAATATGAAATCAGTGCACCTTGAAAAAGAACAGAATAACAGCGATTTTCAGAGAACAAGGGAAGACAACCATAAGGTCTGACTGCCCGTGGGGTCAAGCAGAAGAGAGCCATATTTTTCTTCTTGCAGACAGCCTATAAACGGACATGCAAGTAGGGAAGATATCGCTGAATTCTTTTCCTAGCAAGGAATATTAATAATTAAGACCCTGGGAAAGGAATGCATTCCTCGGGGGAGGTCTATAAATGGCCGTTCTGGGAGTGTTCATGTTATGCAGTTGAGATAAGGACTGATAGGCCCTGGTCTCCTGCAGTACCCTCAGGCTTACTAGGATTAGGAAATTCCAGCCTGGTAAATTTTTATCAGACCGGTTCTCTGCTCTCGAATCCTGTTTTCTGTTAAGATGTTTATCAAGACAATACATGCACAGCCGAACATAGACCCTTACCAGGAGTTTTTGATTTTGCCTTTTGCCTTGTGATCTTTGCTTTGCCCTTTGCCTTGTGATCTTTATTGGCCTCAGAAACATGTGATCTTTGTTCTTCTTTTTTGCCCTTTGAAGCATGTGATCTTTGTGACCTACTCCCTGTTCTTACACCCCCCACCCCTTTTGAAATCCTTAATAAAAACTTGCTGGTCTTGCGGCTCAGGTGGACATCACGGACCTACCGATATGTGATGTCACCTCCGGTGGCCCAGTTGTAAAATTCCTCTCTTTGTACTCTTTCCTTTTATTTCTCAGACTGGCTGACACTTAGGGAAACTAAAAAGAACCTATGTTGAAATATTGGGGGCAGGTTCCCCTGATACTTTTGGACATATATCCAGTAGTGGGATTGCTGGATCATATAGTAGTTCTATTTTTAGTTTTCTCACAAACCTCCACAGTGTTTTCCATAATAGCTAAACTAATTTACATTCCCACCAACAGTGTATGTAAGCTCCTCTTCTCTGCATCTTTGCCAGCATTTGTTATTTTTTGTCTTTTCGATAATAGCCAGTCTAACTGAAGTAAGATGATATCTCATTGTGGTTTTGATGTTCATTTCCCTGATGATAAGTGATGTTGAGTATTTTTTCATATACTTGTTGGCCATTTGTATGTCTTTTGAGAAATGTCTGTTCAGATCCTTTGCCCACTTTTTAATGAGATTATTTGATTTTTTGCTGTTGAGTTGTTTGAGTTTCTTGTATATTCTGCATATTAGTCACTTGTTTGATGAATAATTTGCAAAATATTTTCTCCTATTCAATAAGTTGCTTCTTTATTCTGTTGTTTCCTCTGTTGTGCAGAAACTTTTTGTTTTAACATAGTCCCATTTGTCTATTTTTTGTTTTTGTTGCCTATGCTTTTGAAATCTTAGTCATGAAATCTGTGCCTAGGTCAATGTCCTGAAGTGTTTTATCTGTTTTCTTATAGTAGTTTTTATAGTTTTGGGTTGTACATCTAAGTCTTTTAATCCATTCTGAGTTGATTTTTGTATATGGTGCGGGATAGGGGTCTAGTTTCATTCTTCTGCATACGGATTTCCAGTTTTTCCAGCACTGCTTATTGAATAGAACGCCCTTTCCTTAGTGTATGTTCTTGGTGTTTTTACTGATAATCAGCTGGCTGTAAATACACGTTGGGGTTCTTTATTCTGTTCCATTGGTCTTTGCATCTGTTTTATGTCAATAGTATGCTGTTTTGCTTACTACACCTTGGTAGCATAATTTAAATTCTGGTAGTGTGTTGCTTCCTGCTCTGTTCTTTTTGTTCAGTGTTGCTTTGGCTATTGAGGATCGTTTGTGGTTTTATACAAATTTCAGGATTTTTTTTTTTTTATATTTCTATGAAGAGAAAGCCACCGAGTCCTAAAATAATTCTGAAACTCATCATGACTTTCTTGCCTAAAAGATCTTGATTACAATCGTGCCAAGTTTTGCTTTTGATTTAATCACTTGCTTGAGAAATACATAAACCCACACTCAAGATTAGTGCAGGCATGTCTCTGGCACCTATTTCTGGTTCTATTCAAATTCCTAGAGATGTCAAAAATTACGTTAGGCCACCTGACAGGCTGTATCTAGAAGAGAGAAAATGATTTGTGAAAGCAGTGGGGCTATTTGCAATTGCTTTTTTTTTTTCTTAAATATCACGTATTAGGTTGAAAACCTGCAATTGCAGCTTTCTGTAGAAATGGCAGAAGACAAACTAACATTTTTAAAGCGTTCTCATTTAGCTCTGATGAGCACCACACCCCAAGATGTTCTTCTGATGTTCTTCTGATACTAAAATAATTTTCCTAGTGTAGTCTAAACTTTTTAAAAAAGACACGTAATCCAGAGTTTGTAACTCAAAATGAGTGCATCTACGAGGGATCGCAAGCCGTTTCTGGATTAAATTGCCAGCTAGCTAGCTAGCTAAGCAGGGGCGGTGAAAAAGACAATCTGCAGGCTACGGAAGAAAACGCTTTTGCCTTGTTCTTAACTGTTTACGTTATTTTATTTCCCTAGAGTACGGCAGGACTTGGGGATCAAATGGTACAACCGCTGGTGATCGCCATGGTGGCAATAAAAGCATCCAGAGAGGACGGTAACAGGCAGGAGCTCCAAACGTCAGTCCCTGCAACTTAGGACTCAGCAATTTAGGTTGCAGAAAAGAAAAAGCAACCTAGCAAATTTGCCACTGGCAGTACCTGGAGACCGGTCGGGAAGCGCGCCAGTGCGCAGACTCCGCGGGCTCGCACAGGCGCACAAAAGAGGGGCAGGGGTGGTGCATTTGGGGCGCGGCGCCGGGGCTGGGGGCGGGGCGCCCGGCCTGGGGAGGGCTTCCTGTAGGCTGCTGGGCGGGGGCAAGGGGCTGCTGGGTCTCATTCAGGGCGTACTGAGGAGCGCCATGGCACTGCAGGGCATCTTGGTCGTGGAACTGGCCGGCCTGGCCCCGGGCCCGTTCTGTGCTATGGTCCTGGCGGACTTCGGGGCGCGGGTGGTGCGCGTGGAGCGGCCGGGCTCCCATTACGACGTGAGCCGCTTGGGCCGGGGCAAGCGCTCGCTGGCGCTGGACCTGAAGCAGCCGCGGGGAGCCGCCGTGCTGCGGCGTCTGTGCGCGCGGTCGGACGTGCTGCTGGAGCCCTTCCGCAGCGGTGAGCCCGGGCCCCGCGGGCTGCTCTGTGGAAGTGCCCGCGGAGGGGAGGGGGCCTGGCCATTCGAGCCAGGCTGCACCCGCCACACCTTTGCCCTGTTGCCGCCAGAACCCTTTTCGGCCCCAGCCTTCTAGATGTTTTTGCCTCCTAGGGTATTGTTAGTGATCATTCATCCCAAACTTGATTGTTCAAAACTTGAGTTCTGAGATACTGCTGTTGCCCGGTTTCTCCTTTGGCCTCTCTGACTCCTTCCCAAGTTCCTCTTTTTTTTTTTTTTCCTAAGAAACGCTCTGTATTTGCCTTTCTTAATTAATTGAGGGTCTTGAACCCTGGAAGAATCTAATGAAAGCCATAGGATTCCCCTCCTGGAAAACTGCATATAGGCGGTTATTCGGCTACAGTTTTGGAGTGCTGTACCCTCAAGCCTTCCACGGACCCAGGCTTACGCTCCCTGCCTGAAACGCTGGTGTTCTAAGTCGCAGCATCTGCTCCCTGGAGCTCCGTTACCCATTCCATCATTTTCACCTTTTTGTAGACTTTCCCTTTCAGAACCGCAGACGCTGGCATACACAGGTCCTGGGCATCGTCCTCAAGGCTGTCCGCCAGGCAGCTTCTACAAATCCCAAACTGAGCCTTTCGTTCTTCCTTCTAAAACAGCATCTCCACCTTCTGTATTATTTATTTCACTGAATGCCTGAATCCGAAACTTGTACTTCATCATGGACTCCAGTTTTCCTTTCACCACATCCAATTTCAATGATTATCTATACAGTCATTTTGCTCTTTAGCCCACTCGGACTATTTCTCTCCATCCCTGCTGCAACTGCCTTGACATACGGGACACCAGGCTTATTTAAATGCGTTAACTCATTTAACCCTCATAGCCATATTTGAGGCTTGTAACAATAATGATTTAATAATTAAGATTATGTAATAATTTAAGAATGCTCCATTCAAGATGAAGGAGGTTTGTCCAAGGTCTTGTTATTAGGAGGAAGGTTGGCTGGGACTATGGATATAGCCTCTGGGTGAGGGATTGTGACTGGTGTTTATCTAGGTAGATGACCAGAGGTTTTCTGTGATTTATTTTAGCCTTAGGAAGGTAAAGACAGTGAGTTTATTATGTAATTTTGATTACTTTTAATTCCAGGAAACTTCAGGTGCAGATTACCCCGGGTTTGTGCTATAAATATTATACTTGATAGCTTAAAAACTCTCAGGTCTTATTGTCACTAACCTCTCTTTCTACAGATGGGTGCTAAACTTTTTCGTGAAGGTACTAATGCTAGGAACTTTAGCGCCTGTGGAAACAGATCAGGTGTGAATTCTGCAGGAGGAGCTCATGAGCTGATAGGGAAGATAAGTGTGTGGATGTACAAGCAAGTGCAGCTGAGGTGGGATGTGGTAAACACTGATGTGGTATAGAAAGAGAGAAAAGGGATTTACTGAAGGCATGAGACCCTGCTCTGGGGACTGAATAAATAGGCTTGGATAAACCTAGAGGGAAACAGGGATGTACCAGGAGAAATTACATCCTGGAAAGAAGCCACACATTCCATTAATGGTGGCTTCAGTCTTTGGGGCCTTAACTGCTGTAAACATGCCATTAGCCCACAGCAAATGTTATTAATATTACTTGCAATAGTGCTATTTTGTTTGTCTTAGAGAAGGGATTATCTCCATCCTCAATTCATACTCTCTTAAGAAGATTGTTACTTTTCTGTTAAGGTGTCATGGAGAAACTCCAACTCGGCCCAGAGATTCTGCAGCGGGATAATCCAAGGCTTATTTATGCCAGGCTGACTGGATTTGGCCAGTCAGGAAGCTTCTCTCGGTTAGCTGGCCATGATATCAACTATTTGGCTTTGTCAGGTATGTTGAAAAAAAATTTAGTCTATACTTTTATTCCATCAAGATCTACAGGTATGTTGATTAACAATAATTCTTAAAAGTGAAGCTTTAAATGTTTATCAGAATCAGGAGAGCATGGGTATTTAAAATGGATTGGTTTGGGTCTTGAAACAATCATTCTCAACCTTCCCTCACGCCACCCCTTAACACGTTCGAAGGATAATACATGCCCGCTGCCATCATTTATTTACTACATTTGTTGAGTCAATTCTTAGACAAGCCCCGGCTAGGAATTAAGAGGCTTACTGGGTACTAGGGATGGTTGCTCTGTAGTTTGAAAGTGTTGACATAGTGCAATTCTGACAGCTACTTCGCCCCACCCCAAAATCTCTACCCACCATTTTGAGAATCATTGCCTGAGTCATTGTTTCAGACTTCTATGAGTGCTAGAAAAAGCCCATGGTTTTCAGGTCCTAGTATTACTTTATTAGTGTTTTTGCCTATGACAACATGTGAGATAGGCCTGATTCCAGAATTCTAAGAACTGTGTGTTGTTGACTACAGGACGTTTCAGACTTTCTGTGGGTACACATTTAAAAGTTGAGGAAAGAAATGGGTAATAGAATTGGCTTTTCACATCTATTTAAAAATTAAATTCCTTTTCTTGTGTACAAGTATTTTCTTGCATTTCTTTCCAATAAGAATGAAAGTGCATTTACTGGTTTAAAACCACAAAATAAATAAGCATTTTCTTTTCCAAAAGTGAGTGAGTAAAAACTTAGCAATATTTGAAAATTTTGGTTGGAATAGGTTTTAGAAAGGAAAACAACAAAACAAGGATCCCATCTTGAGGGAAAGCCTGTTTATAAGTTTACTGACTATGCTCTTGGAAAAGTGATGTATACTAGCTTTCACTTAGATTATCTACTGGAGAGATTGATTATTCCTCTAAGATGCTCACATATTTATTTTAAGAAGAGATTAAATTTAAAAGAGACATTCAATTTGTTTTTAATGATGTAGGTGTTCTCTCAAAAATTGGCAGAAATGGTGAGAATCCGTATGCCCCGCTGAATCTCCTGGCTGATTTTGCTGGTGGTGGTCTTATGTGCGTGTTGGGCATCGTGATGGCTCTCTTTGAACGCACACGCTCTGGCAAGGGTCAGGTCATTGATGCAAATATGGTAAGTATTAATTGGGGTAGATGCCTGCCACTTGTCCCTAAGTTTAAGATATGGATGCTTAAAATCATTTCTTTTTAAAGAAGACAAGAGATAAATGACATTTGAAGTTTCAATCCAAGTTACCAAGATATCCTTTTCTTTTTAAAATAGCCTCATGTCCTTTATGTATCTGTTAGAATGTCATATTTTGATCATCTGTTCTTGGAGTCAGTTCTGTAAACTTTCTGCGACTCATCTGATTCCTATGTTGTTTTAGGTTGGTGCAAAAGTACTTGCAGGTTTTGCCAAGTATTTGCCAACCTAAATATTTCAGCAATTTTCCCCAAGTATCTCTTGTGCTTAGTATATCATTTTCAAGCAGTCATCATTCAAACAAAGTTCAAGAAGTCTCCCTCAGCAGGTAGAGAAAATTCTTGGGGATGCTGAGGTGAAATGGACCTCCCTGTCTAAACCTTCCTGCTGTGTTTTGTAGGGGATGCTCTGATATCATAACGCTTCTGTTTGTTCACTGTCATCCACTGAATGCTTGCCTCATGTTCTGCTGAGCACATTCCCTGTGTGATTTCTTCTTATTCTCAAAACTGCATTTGTAATGCATTGTTGTTTTAAAGAGGAGGGAATGGAAGCATAGCCATTTGCTCAAGATCTCACAGCTAGTGGGTAAGAGAGCCCACTCCAGCACCACCACTGCGTGTTTGCATTTTCACAGACATTTGGAGGTAGGATGGAGAATAGATTTGAGGAGACAAGACTGGAGGTAGAGAGACCAATTACTGAGTTATTGCTGAAGAGATCAGGGTAAGTACTAAAGCAATTAATAGTAGAGTTGGTTTGCATTGAAGGGACATTTGAGATGTAAAATTGCTGGGAATTGATAGTGGACTGACAGGGAGCGAAGAGGGAGAAGTTAAGGCTGGCTCCCAGGTTTCTGGCTTGGATGACCTGCTAGTGTCCTGAAGGAGGACTGCTGGACACAGTGGTCAGAGCATAGAGTGGCAGCTGACTACCTCCATCCTAGCTCTGCCATTTACTAGCTCTGTGATCTTGGGCAAGTTATTTAACCTCTCTGTGCTGTAGTTTCCTTTGTAAAATAGAGATAATAATTACATCCTCCTCATAGCATTGTTAGATGCTATGAGAATTCAATGAGTTCATCCATTGTTCAGTGTGAGAACAGTGCTTGGCGTACAGTGGGCCCTCTGTTAAAGTTTGTCATTGTGATTATTTTTACTAGAAGAAAAGGAACTCAGTTTTGGTCATTTCAATTTTGAAGTGCCTTTGAGATATCCAGGTGGGATACTTGAGGTTAGGAACTGGAAACAGATTTCAGAGTCATTTGGGAGCCATATGAGACTATGTGATCCACTAGGAAAGGGGACAGAACACTGGCATTTAAGGAATGCATGGGCAGAGAAGAGAAGCAAGGGCTGAGGACAGCTAAGGAGAGAAGCAGAATGGAGTGTTGTCATGGAAACCAAAGAAAGGAATGGTCAGAGGGTCAAATGTTGGTGGATACCTCAAGAGTTTAGAGACTGAGAGTGTCAACTGGATTGGGTCCTTGATCTTCACAAAATCCATTTTCTACCAGAAACCCCTCATCTCCAAAGCTTCAGCCTGTGCTTCCTTCTCTTCATGGTGAATCATGACCCACCCTGTACTGAATGTGTACCTCTGGGACACTGTCATCAGGGCACATCTCACACTTTCCAGTGTGTCCTCTCTGAAGTGTGTACCAGCGGCAGGGGAGTGTGGTTTATCTCTTGTGGGCCAGCTCTTGGCATAGTCATGGTCTAGTCGCTGCATGAGATAGCAGCACCGGCTTTATACCAGTACCCACCAAACTCAAGACCGGTGCCTTCCACAGGGCTTCTGTGATCCACACAACTTCCTGAGGGAAACGTGCTACTGTCATTGGCATTGAAGACTTGAAAGCTTGGAGAGGTTAACTGCCTTCCTCTAAAGCAGATGATGGGAAAGGGTCCAAAGCACTGCCCGAGGCAGTTGGACCCTAAAGCCACTGCTTTCAACAACTTCCCCTGCTGCCCCATGGGCATGGTCCCTGGAGTCCAAAAGGAATGAACTAAGAGCAAAAATGGAACCTTGGGAGTGTTAAGGATAATTTCAGGCTAGATACTTCTCTAGTAATAATTTGAATAATTTACTGAAGAGATGCAATTGAGTATCATCAAATATAAATAAAAGGTGATTGCTGCTTTCAGCAGACTGTAGCTAATCAGAATTATATAATGATTAGAAGATGGTAAGGTTGGCTGGGCATGGTGGCTCACACCTGTAATCCCAGCACTTTGGGAGGCCGAGGTGGGCAGATCACCTGAGGCCAGGAGTTTGAGACCAGCCTGGCCAACATGGTGAAACCCCATCTCTATTAAAATACAAAAAATTAGCTGGGCTTGGTGGTACGCATCTGTAGTCCCACTACCTGGAAGGCTGAGGCATGAGAATTGCTTGAACCCAGGAGGCAGAGGTTGCAGTGAGCTGAGATCACATCACTGCACTCCAGCCTGGGTAACAGAGCAAGACCCTGTCTCAAAATAAATAACTAATATAAAGAAGTTAGTAAGGTTTTAGGGTATGTGAAAATGTTGTCATCTTTCTTCTGGGCTCATATTTCCATTAGGGGATAGTAAGTATTTGCTAATTACTTAAGGCTAAAAGAATCAGTAAATCATAGTCATTACTTCATCACTAGGAACCCTTGTGGCACAGGCAATTGTAGAAGCTGATTAGGGGGAGGCAGATACCTTCTAATGGGCCGAAAGTTTTCACATTGTTTAGCAGCACAATTCCAGACCTGGGCCTGCCTGTGAAGAGCTGGAGTCTGCCTTATTGTAGTGCTGCTTCCTTGGAAACTGTGGTTAAGATAACTCTGGAATATGGAGTGTGTTTTGCTGTATTTACAGTCAATCTGGGCCCACATAATGAGCACACTGTTGTTAAATTAACTGTAGCGTAAAGCTGCCCCCTTATGTATTTTAAGTTCCACCTAAAGGTTTCTCTTACATAGTGAGCTGTGACCTAACTGGATGTGTAAACAGACTGTAACCTACTTTTGTAATAAGCAGCAAGTCTCAGCCAATCACAGCTGCCGTACGTCAACCAATCACAGGCGACCAGCTGTTGAAACCGTGTTCAAACAAGGCAAAGGCCCAGTTGTAACCAGTCTGGCTGGCTGTTTCTGTACCTCACTTCTGTTTTCTATACATCGCTTTCCATTTTCTGTCCATAAGTCCTCTCTGGCCACAGGACTACACTAGTCACTCTGAACCTAGTCTGGTTTCACAGACTGCCCAATTCGTCAGTCATTCTTTGCTCAAAGTCTTAAATTAATTTGTCTAAAGTCTTTCTTTTAACAGTATCAAAGGTTGGTGGCAAATTGAGGCTGCAGTTTCCCTGTGTCAGGGGGCTCTCGACTGTGGCCTGCATGGTGTATGAGTAATGGGGCAAGAGAAGCTGTGTGCCAGGGTAGCCACTGCCAGGCCTTAGACAAGGAGGGTTCCTGCTGTATTTCTTGGCCTGTACTCCTCTCTGATGCTAAGGATTGGACCAGAGCTTGTTTTTGTCCTGAGTGGGCCCAACTGCACCTGTAACTGTTAACACGTCTATTTTTTAGCAATCTCATTAGGACATTCAACATATAAAAGAGATTAAAGGGGTATTTTATTAGCATAAAACATTTTATGTTTACATACTCAATATTTATTTATTATTTTGTCAGACCAGTGAAGCTGTTCTGAACACGAACACTGGAAGTTAGAGTTTATGGGTGATTGTCTCATCACTTTCAGTATTCAGTTTATTACTGCATTTCGTTTTGACCAGGAGTCTGAGGCAGGAGAATCGCTTGAACCCTGGAGGCGGAGGTTGCAGTGAGCTGAGATTGTGTCACTGCACTCCAGTCTGGGCAAAAGAGCAACACTCCATTTAAAAAACAAAAAAAAAACCCTATATTTTTAAAAACTTGCTTAAAATTTCAGATTGCATTTCATTTATGATGAAGCAAAACAAAAACGTTTTCTTTCCAGGTCAACTCACTACAGTGTCTAAAATCTTCTCACATTCTTTGGCCTGAACATGAAAGTCAAATAAACAGTATTCAGAACTCTCTGCTGAAACTCTCTCTTGCACTGTATGACAAGCTAGTCCGCTTCCAGTTCATCTGTTATTGCCCTATTGATTTGGCATTAGGCTCTGAGAGAAACAAAGCTTGAGCGGAAAGCAGGCACTTGCTTGTTGAAGGTGCTAACTTGTTGGTTTTGTATGAGTCAGCACAAATTAAGAGGGGAGGAGAACCATGCAGAGCAAAAGTTTTCCTTAATAGTGTTTCAAATACAAGGTAACATTTATGCAAAATTGGAAGGAAAAGCTGTATTTTAAAGTCTAGCAACAAATGTTAATGAGTTGAGGCTCTGATGAGTCAGAATTTGGTATAGGATACATTTAAATATGTGCTTAAATAACATAAACATAAAATATATTTAAAATAGTGCACATATATATGCATATGTGTGTATATATGTGTGTGTGTGTATGTGTATAAATGTGGAACTCTAACATCTCTGTAATCCAGCCTCAAAAAAAGGCACTGCCGTAGGCCACTTACATGAACTCTGCTATTTGGTGATAATAAGTGTCATAGTCATAAATTCAGTTGTGTATGAAGTTTCAAGTTAAAAGAGAAAATTGGATACATCCAAAGATACATTTTGTGGTTGTTTCACAGCCAGTAACTCAGAAATTGCTAGCAGCTGGAACGAGGTCTCCTCTATTGGTAACTTTGGAGACAAGGATGTTTTGAGGGCCTTCTCCCTTGGATGCTGGAGACAGTAGGCTTATAAAAGACATAAAGATCAGAACATGGTCCTCTTCAAATAGACCAGTGCCTCCAGCCTTTGAGTTTGAGCCTTGTGGTAATTGTACTTTATCGTGTAATTGCTTCAGGACTCAATGGGAAGGTGGCATTCCCAAACCGGTTTACCTGGACTCAGAAAATGCACATACCTACCATCCGTATTGTCAGTTTATTTTATAACTTTCTAGTGATTACAAAATATAACATATATTAAATACTCAAATACAGTTTTCTTGGGATTGGAATCGAGCTAGAACAAGCCAAATTTTACTGTTATGAGATTTACCTTTAAAATGTGCTATGGTTCTTACATCTGTGTGTGTTTATAGGTATGGAGATCAGGAGATGCATTTTAAAAAGCTCTTTTAATTTTTAACTTTTTGTCTTGGCAGTTTTTAACATTGTAAAAAGTAGAGAGAATAGTACAGTGATCTTCCATGTACCTTCACCTAGCTAAAAATTACCAGCATTTTGCCAATCTTATTAGAAATGGAGAACAAAAGTCATTCCTTCTAAGTCTTACAGTATTTTCAGAACTGAATAGTGCAGCCAATTGCTATTCTAATACAAACTGCTCTAACTCACTTTCTGGAAATACCAGAGAAGTTGTATAATTAAGTAGAATCTTCGTATACTCTAAGATAAGAATTTTTATGCAAATACTTTTTTTAACTTGAATAGGAGAAATTGTTCATGCTTTGACACTTGAGTTATCTGGATTTGTTTTGTATTCTGTTTTCTCAAAGGTGGAAGGAACAGCATATTTAAGTTCTTTTCTGTGGAAAACTCAGAAATCAAGTCTGTGGGAAGCACCTCGAGGACAGAACATATTGGATGGTGGAGCACCTTTCTATACGACTTACAGGACAGCAGATGGGGAATTCATGGCTGTTGGAGCAATAGAACCCCAGTTCTACGAGCTGCTGATCAAAGGTAAGTAAACTTCATGTGTCTCCCTCAGCTCCCCTTTTGCTGTAGATGTTCTTTGGTTCTATTTTAAAGACTTTTGGAATCTATGATGTCTTTTATTATATAGCCACTTTCTAAAACCTAATTATAGCCATCAGTATGATGTGGGACATTTTCCATGGCTTTTAAATTGACCAGCAGTCTTACTAGTCTATAAAATAGCTGAGGGTTTTAAAAATAATAACCCCTTTTGTAGGATGTTCAGTGCTTTAATTTCACTCCTTGTGTTGATAATCTTGCCCCTGTGTGCCCAGATCTTACTCTTCCCTAGAAATGATCTGTCCACATTGGTCGCTTTCCATTCAGTATTCTACCAGCTATTATTCCTTGGTAGATGTCCCTTATGGCACTTCAATGTCAGAAGTCAGCAGAGCATGGAAAGATTTTGGCAAAAGAGATTCTGTTAGAATATGTTACTATATCACTATGCCTTTGCAGATTACCTGTCTTGCAGAGTCTTGCCTTCTTGGCAAGTTGCCATAAATTAGCAAGAAAATTTGGGATCTCTTCTTCCCTAATTAAGTAATTGGATGGGAGTCATTTTGTTCCTGAGAAATGTTTGAATTTAAAATTCGCTCTATAAATAATGTAGAACCTAAGAAGTTTCAGAATATACTCTGAAGTGGTGTGAAAGCTGATCACAGTGCATTTACCTTTCTACTACAAGTTTCAGGTTTCATTGTTATGTTTGGTAGCTTTTCAGATGCGTATACTAAAAGTTATTTGCATATAGCAGGAATGATTTTTTTTTAATTTTTCAAATTTTTGATGTGTTCTCATCTGATGGAATAATTGCGTTTGCAAGCAACTGAAAGCATTTTATGATTAAACATACTAACTTCACCTATTCAAATATAGTTGGAAAAACTATAGAAGAACAGAATGGTTTATCTAGATCAAAAAGGGTACCTCTCTGTCCAGAAATTAAAAAGCTTGCCTTTCGTCACTGCTCCAAATAAATTGGAAGCTCTGGCTGCTCGTGATGCTCTGGCGGAGCTCTGTGGAGCCATGAACACTACCAACTGCAGTCTGACGAAGATAGCAAATGATATTCATTTTCTGAGTTCTGGTCCTTGCCCAGGTCTGGGAGAACTGACCTTGCTGAAAATGCAACAGGAAGCAGTATCGTGCCAGGCAAGGCAAACCCTACTCAGTGTGAAGCGATGACCATCGTTGCAGCCCAAGTCATGGGGTACGGTGTGGCTGTAACTGTTAGAGGTAGCAATGGCCATGTTGAGTTGGATGTTTTCAAGCCAATGATGATTAAAACTTTAGTGTTACACTCAGGCTGCTGGGGGATGCCTCAGTTTCCTTCACAGAAAACTGCATAGAGGGAATCCAAACCAATACAGAAAGGATCAAGAAGCTAATGAAGAAGTCGCTAATGTTGGTGACAGCTCTCAACCCTCATATAGAGTATGACAAAGCAGCAGAGATTGCTAAGACAACACCCCAAAATGGATCGACCTTAAAGGAAACTGCCGTTGAACTTAGCTGTCTCACAGCAGAGCAGTTGGATGAATGGTTAAAACCTAAGGACATGCTGGGTCCAAAGTGACTTAAATAAGTTTTAATGAAAATAAACGTGTAAAATTTTAAAACAGTACTGGACATTTTAAATAATTCAATGTGACAACCTCCCAGGACTCCTCAGGACCTCAGTCCTGGACTTGTTATTGTTGCTGTTTGTTTAATGATTTTCTTAAATTAAATCTGTATTCTTTGGCATGTGCAGCCACCGAAGTCAACTGTGTTAGCTTCAGCTAATCATTGGACAGAAATGTCCTTAAATGCCTTTTTTTTTGTTTGCTTGTTTGTTTTAATCTGGGGGACAGGATCTCGCTTTGTTGCCCAGGCTGGAGTGCAGTGGTGTGATCACAGCCAACTGCAGCCTTGAACTCTGGGGTGCAAGCGATCCTCCTGCTTCAGTCTCCCAAGTAGCTGGGACTACAGGCACGTACGACCACACCTGGCTAATTTTTTATTTTTTGTAGAAACAGAATCTTGCTATTTTGCTCAGGCTGATCTTGAACTCCTGATCTCAAGCGATCCTCCTGCCTCAGCCTCCCAAAGTACTGGGATTTCAGGCATGAGCCACTGTGGCCCTTAAATGCCTTGACCCAATAAATCTCCTGTCTTTTTCTGAAGCGCTACATGCCTTAACTTCTTGCTTGTGAAGAGCCTCAAGGTCAGCCAGAGGTGAGAGAGGAGGGCCTTTTCAGATCTCTCCCGGGCATTCGCACTGTCCTGCACATGTGTGTGTGTATGGCCTTCTCAGGAGGTGTAAAAAATTTCTCAGGAATATGTTGGAGCTTTTCAAAGCCCCCTATGGATATACCATTTCCCAGTTTTTTTCTTTTAAGTTTTTTGGTCAGCATCTCATTAGCTGCAATAAGTACCACCACCTAAGACAGCTGCAATAAAATATTGCCTTTTTTTTTTTTTTTTTTTTTAAATCAGCATTTTAGGACTAGAGCAAAGTGAGCTCTGAGTTAGATCACAGAAAGACAAGCCCTGAGAATGGAGCCTTTCAGGGACCTGCCCGACAGGCTAAATAATGACAGTTCTCTGGGGATGGGGTTTTTGGGGGAAGCTCCAAACTTATTTTCCTCCTCTCGGGTCTGTTCTCCTGCTGGTTTTCAGAACTGACCAGAGTTGAGGGGAAGTTGTTTTTCAAGGCTACCACAGGGAGAGGGATGAAATTAGCACAAATTCTAACACCACAAAGCTCACTGGTCTTACTGAGATTCAGCTGTTTTTCTTGAATAAATGCTCCTTGGAATGCTGCAAGCTTTTGATTTCCAGAATTATGAAAAAGTTAATTCTGACAGTTGTTGTTAGTGTTCTCATTGCTTTAACACAGGTTTTTGAAGGCTCTCATTCTGCCACTCTGGAAGTTAACTCCCTTCCTTGATGTATCCTATTATTTTAAAACATATACGGTAGTCCTCTCTTATCTTTGGGGGATGCTTTGCAAGACCCCCAGTGGATGCCTGAAACTGCAGATAGTACTGAACCTGATTGCTGTCAATTGGAAGATGTTTCTATTTACGTCTTCCACCCACAAAATTAATGCATTTTCCATCTGTATTAAGCACTTACCATGTACTATAGTTATAACTTTTCAGTTTGAGTTGTGACAGCAAAACTAGCATGAATTTATTTTTCCTTCTCCCCTTCTTCATAATCTCATGAATATAAGATTCATTCTTAACCATCGATTTTAGCAACCTTAGCTTATGAGTTTTATTCTTCCCCTAAGCTGAGAGCTTTCACCTTTTCATCTAAGGGAAGCACTTTAGGCTTCTCTTTGGCATATCCACATTGCCAGCATCACCTTCACCTACAACCTTTGCGGGCCTTAGGAAGTGAAATAAGGGTTACCTGAACACAAGCACTGCAATATTGCAGCAGTCAACCTGATAACCTAGTTGGCTACTAAGTGACTAATGGGTTGGTAGCCCCACAGTGTGGATAGGATGGACACGATTCATGTCCAGGTCAGGACGGAGCAGGATGCTGCGAGGTTTCATCATGCATCATGCTGCTCAGAACAGCATGCAGTTTAAATTTATGAATTGTTTCTTTCTGGAATTTTTCATTCAATGTTTTCAGACCACGGTTGACTGTGGGTAACTGAAACCACAGAAAGCCAAACCTCAGATGAAGAAGGACTGCTGTATGTGTGGAGCAGACTCGTTTTTCACATCCACACTTCACCTCAATGAATAAGCCTTTCTGGAAACACTGAAAATGAAACAAGACAACAGTTTTCTAGCAAGGTCATCGTGCCAACGCCTTAACTCCTGATCACCTTCTCCTGGGTCTTCTGCTGAGTTTAAACTTTGTAACTCCCCTGATTTTTTTACAGCCCCCTCTTTTTGCATCCATAGCCTTTTATGGTATCCTTAACCCTCATCTCCCTTCAAAGTTTACGTAGGATCCTTAGCTGACAGATGGCTTGTGCTCTAGGAGATAGCATGTTAAATCACCCTGCACTTTATCTACCTAGTCCATGCCAAAATGCCTCAGCATTATCTCTCTTCTATAAGATTTATTTACAAAAATACTACTTTTACTAATCACATATGCATTTCTTCTCTCTCAAGTCCTACTGGACAAACCCCCACATCTGTAATAATTTTTTGAGGGCCAGGTGCGATGGCTATGCCTGTAATTCCAGCACTTTTGGAGGCTGAGGCAGGTGGATCACTTGAGGTCAGGAGTTCAAGATCAGCCTGGGCAACATGGTGAAACCCCGTCTTTACTAGAAATACAAAAATTAGCCAGGTATGGTGGCATATGTCTGTAATCCCAGCTGCTCGGGAGGCTGAGGCACGAGAATCACTTGAACCTGGGAGGCGGAGGTTGCAGTGCACTGAGGTCGCATCACTGCCCTCCAGCCTGGGTGACAGAGCGAGACTGTGTATCAGAACAACAACAACAATAATAATAATAATTTTTGAGGTAGTACTAATTACATACCTAATTTACTTCCCTTTGTGTTTTAGATCTTTGAGACCATACTTTAATTTGTATCTTCAGTTTCTGAACATAAGTATGCAAAGTCTTTTTAAAGTACATACTCTGCTGCATCCCTGCTATTTTCTAGGACAAAAAAATCGGAAAACACTGAGAATTTTATGACATTTTGAGATAGCAAAGTTCTTATAGTACAATCAGGTAAGCAATAGATAATTTTCAAAAGCTGTTTTATCAGGAGATAGTTTTCTTTTATTTTTTTTTTTTTTGAGACGGAGTGTGGCTCTGTCACCCAGGCTGGAGTGCAGTGGCCGGATCTCTGCTCACCGCAAGCTCCACCTCCCGGGTTTACGCCATTCTCCTGCCTCAGCCTCCGGAGTAGCTGGGACTACAGGCACCCGCCACCTCGCCCGGCTAGTTTTTTTGTACTTTTTAGTAGAGACGGGGTTTCACCGTGTTAGCCAGGATGGTCTCGATCTCCTGACCTCGTGATCCGCCCGTCTCGGCCTCCCAAAGTGCTGGGATTACAGGCTTGAGCCACCGCGCCCGGCCAGGAGATAGTTTTCAAAAGCTGGGTGATCTCTGTCACCCAGGCTGGAGTGCAGTGGCGTGATCTCGGCTCACTGCAACCTCTGCCTCCTGGGTTCAAGTGATTCTCCTGCCTCAGCCTCCTGAGTAACTGGAATTACAGGTGCCCATCACCATGCCTGGCTAATTTTTGTATTTTTAGTAGAGATGGAGTTTCACCATGTTGACCAGGCTGGTCTTGAACTCCTGACCTCAAGTGATCTGCTCCCCCTTAGCTTCCCATAGTGCTGGGATTAGAGGTGTGAGCCACCACTCCTGGCCTTCAAATTATTATTTCTAAAAAATACAAAATAACAATTGTTGGCAAGGGTGTGAGGAAACGAAACACTTGTGTACTACCAATGAGAATGTAAAGTGGTGTAGCCGCTGTCAAAAACAGCATGGCATTTCCTCAGAAAATTATACATAGAATTGTATGATCTAGCAATTCCACTTCTAAGTATATAACCAAAAGAATTGGAGGCAGTGACTCAAACAGATATTTGTATATCTGTGTTCATAGTGACATTATTCACAATAGCCAAGAGGTAGGAGCAACTCAAGTGTCCATCAACAGATGAATGGGTGAATAAAATGTGGTACAGACATAAAATGGAATGTGTTTCAGCCTGAAAAAAACAAGAAAATTTCAACACGTTACGACAGAGATGAATCTTGAAGACATTATGCTGAGTGAAATAAGTCAGTCACCAAAGGGCAAATACTATGTGATTCCACTATGTGAACTATCTAAAGTGGTCAAATTCATAGAGACAGGAAGTAGAATGAATGGTGGTTGCCAGGGGCTGTGGGGAGGTAGGAGCGGGAGTTAATGTTTAATAGGTTCAAAGTTTCTGTTTGAAAAGATGAAAAAGTTCAGGAGTTGTGTGGTACAGATGGACGGTGGTGATAGCTGTAAAGCAGTATGAGTATACTTAATGCCCTAGTACTGTGCACCAAAAAATGGCTGAAATGGTAAACTTTATGTATATTTTATCACAATTTTCAAAAATGAAATAAAAATTTAAAATTATATATTTGCTAGGAAAAAAATAAGCAATACAGATTTTAAAAAGTAAGAAGGGAAAATTTTCCTTTGTTCTTCCACTTTGGGAAAATTTGGGATGTGGCCTTCAAGAATTTTTATTGTACATATACAAATGCACAATTATTCTATTCTATTTTATTTTTTGAGACAGGCTCTTACACTGTTGCCTAGGCTTGAGTGCAGTGGCACAAACATGGCACACTGCAGTCTTGACCTCCTGGGCTTAAGCAATCCTCCTGCTTCAGCCTCCCGTGTAGCTACGACCACCATGCCTGGCTAACTTTTTGATTTTTTTGTAGAGACAGGGTCTTACTGTGTTGCCCAGGTTGGTCTTGAACTCCTGGGCTCAAGTGATCTTCCTGCCTCAGCCTTCCAAAGTGCTGGGATTACAGGCATGAGCCACAACACCCAGCAATTATTTTCTGTTTTACAATTTATAATTTATATATATAAAATAATATAAATTTATAGTTTATAGCTTTTTATACAACAATATAGCAAAGACGTTCTTTCATGTCAGTACAAAAGATCTTTACCCTCACCCATTTTATATAGCAGCCATATCATATTTTTTATCTGCCTGTACTAAAATTTATATAACCAATTCCCTATGCAAGTTCATTTACATTTTTTCCAAATTTTCGTTATAAAAATAATGTTTATGGCTGGATGCAGTGGCTCACGCCTGTAATCCCAACACTCTGGGAGGCCGAGGCAGGCCGAGGTCAGGAGTTTGAGACCAGTCTGGCCAACATAGTGAAACCCCATCTCTACTAAAAAATACAAAAAAATTAGCCAGGCATGGTGACAGGCACCTGCAATCCCAGCTACTTGGGAGGCTGAGGCAGGAGAATCGCTTGAACCCGGGAGGCAGAGATTGCAGTGAGCCGAGATCGTGCCATTGCACTCCAGCCCGGGCAATAGTGGGAGACTCCGTCTTAAATAAATAAATAATAGGGAGGCTGAGGTGGGAGAATGACGTGAATGCGGGAGGCGGAGCTTCGAGTAACCGGAGATCGTGCCACTGCACTCCAGCCTGGGTGACAGAGTGAGACTCCGTCTCAAAAATAATAATAATAATAAAATAATGTTTACAATTGCCATCCTGGGCATATATCATTGAATACTTACAACATGAAATTTGACTGCTTACTACATACTTAATATTATAAAGCAGTAAAGTTTATGGCATGTACTTAAAAGAATAAGCATTTTTTGTAGTCGTGTGTCGGGGGCGGGGGGGTAGTTTTTTTGAAATCAAAACATGCTTTCCCAAGTTTTAAATGGTATCTGATTTCCCAGGCTAGTTCCTGAAAATCTATTTGACTTAAAATACCAGAAATTTCATAGTGATTTTACCATAACAACTAGCCACAATCTATAACTGTATTTATACAATTATGGATTCTGAGACTTGGGACTGGATTCCAAGTTCCATATTGGAGTGTCAGGAGCACAGCAAACAGCTCACCTTAAACCACTGGTGTTCAATCCTGTGGCCTTGGTCAGGGTCATGGGCAGGATGGGAGATGGTGGGCTGCGAAGCCATGGTAGACAATGGGAGAATTGGGGTGTTAGAGGTAGGGTAGTATCTGGGGACTTTTGATTTCTAGTATTTTTCTAGCATACAAACTATGACCTGTGTAGTCTCAACTATAAAGTTAAAGAGAGAACATATTGGCTGCAGCTTTACTCAGTGTTATGATTCTGATCACAGTCTGATAAAAAGCAACTGTTTTAAAAGCATGTGAAGATCACTACTTTTTGCTCGTTGCTCATTTTATGTGCCTTTCACTCACAGAGTTCAGGGCAATCGAGAAAGAACATCAAGTGAAAGATATCCTGTAGATTATAGTGATAACCTGAAACTATGGCCTCCTATCCATCCTGGTATTTGAATGGGACTGGTGGTTACAGAAGAAAATGTACTTATATATTCCACAGGAGACTGCTTACAAAAATCTGGAACTGTGTTAGTTCTTCTTATTTCCTCATAGTCCTCAAAACCTTAAGAAGAGGCTTCAGTATTTATGTCTTCTTACCTCTATAGGGACTTTACCATCTTCAGAGCAACTTAAAATTAGCCTTGATTGTCAACATGCTAGAGAAGGAAGGTATTCTATAAGTGAGGATTATTCAATTAACTTGGCTAAACTTACACACAGTATTATGCATAAAGAAAGGGCCTTTCGTTATCATTTGACACTTAGCCATGCACTTTTAAAAACCTGCTTATAGAAGAAAAGGGACATTTGCATCAACTATTGTAAAGTGGCCCTGCTCTTTGGGTATAATTTAATCAGCACTGGAGTCTGGGCATGTCTGCAGGGGTAGGCCCACATAGTCAGTAAAGGAAACACAGATGGGGTCAAGAGCTAGAGAGGCTACTTTTCCTGTTAAATCCCCAGGTAGCTGCTGTCATGATCTCTGCACTGTAGTCTTGATGGGCCCTTCAAGTTCCTTTCATGCCGGAGAGGAGTCTGCATGCCCCACTGTTGACTGGCTGGCTAATAAGTTTCTGTTTTGTTTGCTATAGGAACAATTTGCATGAGTCTTTGGTTACCTTACAAGTCCTTTATCCTAGTAGAAAGCCCTTTGGGGTTCTTTTATTTTAAAAATGTATGTGTGTATATATGTATGTATGTATGTATGTATGGATGGATGGATGGATGGATGGATTGGTGGATGGATGATGGATGATGGGGGTCTTGCTGTGTTGCCCAGGCCGGGCCTTGAACTCCTGGGCTCAAGCAATCCTCCAGCCTCAGCCTCTTGAGTAGCTTGCACTATACTCATGCCATCACTCCTGGCCATTCTAGCTCTTTTATTTTAACAAAATAAAGATAAATGAATGTATTTATAAAATTGCAATCCTGAATTAAATAATTTGTCTTCAGGCTTCTTCCTTGGAAACTGAGATGGTCATGTATAAAATTGTTCATATTTTTTTATAAGGTTTGAATACATTATAGAGAATAGGGAGTTATTTTAACTCAGTATAACTGGCTAATAACATCCTGGGGAAATTTTTTTTCAAAATCTACTCAGAGGTAGGAAATCAATTTCTGGAAACCAGACCATTGAGAACAGACCACTTTTGATGAAATATGAATAATAAAATCTTGGTGGTGGCAAGTCTGACTACCTCTGCCCTCTCCAGCCTTTGACTCCAACCTTAAACTGACTTTACATTTTTTTCTCTTGACTCATTTGAGAAGCCCTTATAGAACATTTTATTTTGCATAGTACGGTGGGCTCAGCATTCATTTTTATTGATTATAATAGCTCTGTTCAAAGCATGATAATTTAAGAAATTGTATTTTTCCTCAGGACTTGGACTAAAGTCTGATGAACTTCCCAATCAGATGAGCATGGATGATTGGCCAGAAATGAAGAAGAAGTTTGCAGCTGTATTTGCAAAGAAGACAAAGGCAGAGTGGTGTCAAATCTTTGATGGCACAGATGCCTGTGTGACTCCGGTTCTGACTTTAGAGGAGGTTGTTCATCATGATCACAGCAAGGAACGGGGCTCGTTTATCACCAATGAGGAGCAGAGCATGAGCCCCCGCCCTGCACCTCTGCTGTCAAACACCCCAGCCATCCCTTCTTTCAAAAGGGATCCTTTTGTAGGAGAACACACTGAGGAGATACTTGACGAATTTGGATTCAGCCGCGAAGAGATTGATCAGCTTAAATCAGATAAAATCATTGAAAGTAATAAGGTAAAAGCTAGTCTCTAACTTCCAGGCCCACAGCTCAAGTGAATTTGAATACTGCATTTACAGTGTAGAGTAACACATAACATTGTATGCATGGAAACATGGAGGAACAGTATTGCAGTGTCCTACCACTCTAATTAAGAAAAGAATTACAGACTCTGATTCTACAGTGATGATTGAATTCTAAAAATGGTTATCATTAGGGCTTTTGATTTATAAATACTTTGGGTACTTATACTAAACTGTGGTAGTTATTCTGCCTTCCAGTTTGTTTGATATAATCTGTTGATATTAAGATTCTTGACTTATATTTTGAATGAGTTAATATATCGTAATTTATGAAATAAAGCTTCTTTTTCCCTAAAGTGTACTTGTCCTTTTAAGTTTGTACAACGCTAAGAAAACCCTTTAAATACCGTTTAAATAGGATTTTGTAACGCTTCTAAGAAAACCCTTTAAATACCATTTAAATCGCATTTTGTGTATCTTTGAAATATTTTTGGCTCTATTGTTTACCAAAATGAATGTCCTTAAATAGAGAAGTCTGACCATTTTAATTTGACAGGAAATCAGTCAGTCAGCGTCTTTGAATGGGAATGTTGGCAGATGATCTCCGGGTTTCTGGCGGATAACTCCCACCCCTCTGTCTAACCCTCTCTGCTGAGAGCCGGCCTTCTCTGTGCAGCTGCCTGTTAGCCTCACTGACATGCCTCTTTTTCTCAGATTGTGCCATCATCTGCGTCCTGCCAGGCAAGTCTTTCTCTCTCACCAGTCTCCTGCTTCCATTCCCACCATGCCTATCTCTGCCCTCATAGGTCCTCAGCTTATCCTTACTTCACTGAGGCCACTGCCCAATTGCCCCCCTGCAGAGAGTCCTTTCCCAGCCTCTGTCTAAAATGGCAGCCACTTAATCACTTGCTATCCCCTCTCCCTATGTTGTTTTTCTTTGTACCATATATCACTACTGACATATATGCTCATTAACCCCAGTCTCCCTCCCACCCCCGCCAGCCCACCAACACACACTAGAATGGGAGCTTTATGAGGGATTTTGTATGTTTCGTTCATTGTAAAATCCCTAGTTCCTAGAATAGTGCCAAGTGCATAGCAGAAACTTAGTAAATATGTATTAAATGAATACATCTCAAAAGTGAAGTGCTGTCAATTCTACTTTAACAGCACTTGAATCCATTCCCTCTGCCTATCCCCCATTGCACTTTTCATTCAGGCCCCTCTTACCTCTTCCCAAGACTCCAGTTCAGTTGCCCTATCAGCCTTGACCTCTAGTATCATTGCCTCATTATTATTATCATGTTACTCCACTGGGTATGTTTTTGATACCACACTGAATTTACAGTCCGGCAAAAATCTTGTGGTGGTCTTTTTTCCTATAGAGTGGAATATAAACTCGTTTACGTAGCATATCAAACCTTTACTTACAATAAGACTTCTATGTAGCTGTCCAGGCCCATCCCTGTCCTCCTGTTCCCCAGGACTTACATTGGACTACCTGAAATTCCTAACTATGCTATGGTCTCTCTTGTTTCCATTCCTTTCTGTATACTGCACCATTATTTTCCAGGACTATCAAGACCCCTTTGCTCCAGTCTGTTGATCTAGCAAACTCAGACTGGGCTGGAACACAGCCTTCTTTGTGAAACTTCCTGTGCTTCTCAGCCCTAGGGTAGTTTTGTACAGTGATTATGAGTTGTGGAGTCAGAAGGGCCTTGGGTTCAAATCTCACTGTATCATTATGATGTCTAAGACAATGCCTGTGAACATCCTAGGTGTTCAGTGTTAGCTTGTATTGTTAAGGCCCTTTCTATGTTTCCATCTCACTTCATACACATCTGCAAGGATAGTAATTGCCTTTACTATATTTTACAAAATTATTCACTAGGCCATATGTTCCCAGATTAATGGCTCTAGCAGGCAAAATAATTACTTGGAGATACTGTTAAAACAGATTCCTGAGCCCCTTTCCAGAGATTCTACAGCAATGGGTCTAGGGTAAGAACCGTGAATATGCATTTCCACCAAGCTTCCAGGTGATTATGATTCTGGTGCAATTACTGCACTTTGAGTAGCACTATCCTAATGGATATTAACCAAATCTTTTTACCTTGGTTACTTTATAATAGGTGCTTAAAAAAATAGCTGTTTAATCGACCAGTGAGGGAAAGGATAAAAGCAAGTTGGCAAAAAATCTGTAAATAAACAGGCTAGCTTAGAGCATTGATTTCTGTAATTAGTTGACTTTACACAAAATGTTCAAATGAAAAATTGGTTTTTGTAGGTTGTGAACTTTTAAAGGGTGAATATATAAAAGCAAGGTTAGTAGCTTTTGTTAGTGACCCATACTTTCCTTTTTCTGAAGAGTCTAAGACCCTGTGCAAAAAAATGTTACACCTCTATTTTTCAGTTACCTTTTGACAAGCTGTAGATTTAGAAATAAGTAAAGGGGACAGGTAAGGGGAAAATAGGAAGTTTTAAGGAGAGTGGAAGAGAGGCAGGCAATTGAAGGTGGCAAATTCAAGTGAAAGAAGAATGATACATTCTTGAAGACATTGATATACATTTATTTACATTCTTGATTCTACAGTGTAGGAAATGGTGAAATGCCACAAACTGTATGGTGATAAATAAAAGCCACATGAAACAGGGTGATAGGCTGCATCCAGGCCTTTAGTCTTGGTGTTCATGATCTCCCTCTAAGCACATTCGAACTTTAGCAACAATTGCATCACACTATATAATTTGCAAAATAGTTTCACCTATATTGAATCAGAATGCCTTCAACTGCAAAAAACAATATCCAAAATAATGAGGAAATGTGTTGGCTCACTACCTAGAGTCCAGAGGGATGGTCAGTTTTAGGGTTGCCTGTTTCCAGTCACTCGGGCCTGTTTCCCTGCGGTTCTCTGGGTTGTCAGCTTTCCATTCTCCATGTGTTTGATTTCTCCTCAGGCTGGTAGCAAGTTCTGGATCTTATACCCACACACAGCAATATCCAGAAATAAAGATCTCGGGAGCCCCCAGCAAGTTGTCTTGTGTCTCCTTGGACCGAGTTAAGTTATAAGCCTTTCTTATACCAATCTTTGAAAAAGAAGATAAGCTAACAATGAGCACCTAGTTTTATGTCTTTACATAAAACCAGCCTGCTCCCGGAGCTTCCCTGGATTCAACTTCCTAAAGGCATGTGATGAAGGGGAAGATTCCACAATCTAATCTAGGTGCCATCAGAGTAGAGGGAGTAGAGAATGGATGTTGCGTAGGCCATCAATAAGGTCCATTATACACAGTATGTCAACTCGTCAGCAATCAATTGTAGGGGGAAGGTGGGGCAGGTTTCTTCATTTTATAGATGAGAAAAACCAGAGATTCAGAAGGGTTTCTTAGTTCATGTTTCTCTTAGTGCCTCGGTAATTTTTTCATGGTGGCTTAGGCCAAATTAAATATCTAACCATTCGATGTATAAATAATTAGGTCCCAACAAATTAAATATTTATGTCCTACCAACTTATTAGCTGTTTAAATATATAATACACATAAAAGAAAATATATTTTTCATTTCTGTTTCATTGTTAATCACAACTACTTACTAAGGAGATGTATGCACCTATTGGATGGTGTGGAACTTCTCACCCGGAATGAGACTGGACACAGCTGCCCTCACTTTCTGCTGCATGTTAATGTCCATATAGTACTTGCTTTTCTATCAGACTGACTGGGAAACCCAGTCTCACAAAAATATGAAGTTATTAGAAGGATTATAGTGCAATCTTATGTTGAAGGCATGAACTACCTCATTGATAGTTCATGTGATGTCTGACAGATGTTGAGTTTCATTATGTTTATGTGTTCAAATTTTTAAATATTCTGAGATACTCTTGTGAGGTCACTCTAATGCCCTGGGTGCCTTGGCACAGTTTTAGAAATTATTTGCTCAGGAATATGCAACGAGGAAGAGGCAGAATCAGAGTTTAAGCTTTCATATTCTGGCCTTCAGTCTTGTTCGTCAACCATTTTTAGGAACTTTCCCATAAGGTTATGTTTTCCAGCCCAGGCATGGAGGATCACTTGAGGCCAAGAGTTCAAGACTAGCCTGGGGAATATAGCTGGACCTCCATTTCTACAAAATAAAAATTTAAAAATTATCCAGGTATGGAGCTGTGTGCCTGTAGTCCTAGCTACTTAAGGGTGGGACAGGAGGATCACTTGAGCCCAGGAGTTTGAGGCCACAGTGAATTAGGATTGCGCCACTGCACTCTAGCCCAGGCAACAGAACAAGACCCTGTCTCTAAATAAATAAATAGATAAATAATAAAAAGATGGCTTTCCCTACAACTCAGACTTTTCATTTGAACTCAGGGTCCAGCAAAGAAAATATAACCCACTCGAAGTCTTTAAAACAGACGAAATTTAATATAAAGAATTCCACTGGTGATTAAAGAGCAGAGAAGCCCAGGAGATATCGAGGCAACCCTGATATGAACAAAACTAGGAAGCCAGGACCACTCCTATGAATGCAGGGGTGATGGGAAAGCTGGTGTTACCTGGACCCAGAAGCCAAAGTTGCTGCACCCACCTTGGAGACACAGACACTGCCAGTAATACCTCAGGGAGAAGAAAGAAATCTAGGGAAATATCCTGGCTTCTTTCCTGCTCTCTCTCCCCTAGTCTTCCTACCAGTGCCTCCTATTAGCCAAATCTACCTAGAAGCCAGAAAACAAGGGAACCCTGGAAATGTAGCCCCATAAGATAAAGAGCACCAAAGGAAATAGATCTGAGCAGTCAGGCAGCACAAAATGTAGTGTGTATGTTTTATACACTCAGTAATTCCTTTAGAAAATATTTATTGAGGATCTACTAGGTGCCAGGTATCATGATACTTCCTGGGGATGACATAATGAACAAAACAGACCTGTTCTCTGCTCTTGAGGAAATCAAAGACAAACACAGGATGTGGAATAAACTCAGAATTATCTCATTGTAGAATGTATTAAGTACAATGAGGAGAAATATCAGGGCGATCTGACAGCTAATGATTTGAAGAAAGGTGTGACCCACCACCATTTTAAATCTAGTTATTTCACTCCTCAGCTATGTGTGTAGAAAACTTGTAGTTAGGAAAAAATAGAATGTCTGTATTTATAAAAAGAAGTTTATAAAAAGACATCAATTTATTTACATTTTGACATAACCTCTATGTAATAAGGCTTTATTACCTCACGGCCATGTGTGTGATCATGTGTAATAGCATGTGTGTGTGAGAGAAGCCATGTGTGTAATCATGGGTAATAACATGTGTGAGAGAAGCCGTGTGTAATCACGTAAAATAACGTGTGTGAGAGAAGCCATGTGTGATGTGTAATTGTGTGTTCGTGAGAGAAACCATGTTTGTGATCATGTAAAAAAACGTGTGTGTGAGAAGCCTTGTGTGATGTGTAATAACACAGGTGTGAGAGAGAGAAGCTATGTGTTTGATCATGTGTAATAGCATGAGTGTGAGAGAGAAGCCGTGTGTGATAATGTGTAATAGCATGTGTGTGTGACAGAAGCCATGTGCCTGATCATGTGTAATAATGTATGAGGTCTCATGTGTGATCATGTGTAATAGTGTGAGAGAGAAGCCATGTGTGTGATCGTGTATAACAACATGTGTACAAGAGCGAGAAGCCGTGTTTGATCATGTGTAATGACGTGTATGTGAGAAAAGTCATGTGTTTGATCATATGTAATAATGTGTGAGAGAAGCCATGTGATCATGTGTAATAGCATGTGTGTGAGAGAAGCCATGTGTGTGATAATGTGTAATAATGTGTGTGTGAGAGAAGCCACGTGTGTGATCATGTGTAATAGCATGTGTGTGAGAGAAGCCATGTGTGATCATGTAATAGCATGTGTGTGAGAAGTCATGTGTGTGATCATGTGTAATAACGTGTGTGAGAGAGGTCATGTGTGATCATGTGTAATAGCATATGTGTGAGAGAAGCCATGTGTGTGATCATGTGTAATAGCATGTGTGTTGTAATAGCATGTGTGTGAGAGAGACATGTCTGCGGATCATGTGTATTAACGTGTGTGGAGAAGCTACATAGGATTGCGGGAATAGCATGTGTGGGGAGAAGCCATGAGTGTGATCATGTGTAATAACCTGTGTGTGAGAGAGGCCATGTGTGTGACCAAGGAATATATGGTGTGAGAGAAGCCATGTGTGTGAGAGAAGCCATGTGTGTGGAGAGAAGCCATGTGTGTGATCATGTGTAATACATGTATGTGAGAGAAGCCATGTGTGGATCATGTGTATTAGCATGTGTGTGTGAGAGGCATGTGTGTGATCATGTAATAGTACGTGTGTGAGAGAGGCCATGTGTGTGATCATGTGTAATAGCATGTGTGTGAGAGAGAGGCCATGTGTGTGATCATGTGTAATAGCATGTGTGTAAGAGAGAAGCCATGTGTGTGATCATGTGTAATGGCATGTGTGTGAGAGAGGCCATGTGTGTGATCATGTGTAATAGCGTCTGAAAGAAGCCATGTGTGTGACCATGTGCAATAACGTGTGAGAGAAACCATGTTTGTGACTATGTGTAATACCGTCTGAGATAACCATGTGTGTGATCACGTGTAATAACGTGTGTGAGAGGGAGAGAAGCCGTGTGTGATCACGTGTAATTGTGTATGTGTGTGTGTGAGAGAGAGAGAAAGAAAGAGAGGGAACAGTACAAAGGAGGATCCCTTTAGAAAAATATTCCAACGTCTTAAGGAGCCAGAGGGCTCATTCACAGCTGCTAATCTCTGTCATGCTTTCCAGCACCACCCCCTCCCTCTCATCATAACTTGTGATCTTAGAGGCAGGAAAGAATCTGAGCCCCTCCCCCAGCCTGACCATCTCTGTTGGTTGCTCGGCCAGGCTCCGCAAACCCAGTTTGAAGCACAGACCCTAGCACCACACAGGAGTTGGTGGGCTCGCAGGAAGGTTCCTCTCCCAGTGGCCATGGGTGGCAACAGTGGGCAGGCTGGTGGCCACATCTATAAATCTCTGGCTGATGATGGCCCCTTTGACTCTGTGGAGCCACCTAAAAGACCCACCAGTAGACTCATTATGCACAGCATGGTCATGTTCGGACGAGAGTTCTGCTACGCAGTGGAGGCAGCGTATGTGACCCCAGTCCTGCTCAGCGTGGGTCTGCCCAACAGTCTGTACAGCATTGTGTGGTTCCTCAGCCCCATCCTGGGATTCCTGCTGCAGCCGGTGGTCGGATCGGCCAGCGACCACTGCCGGTCCAGGTGGGGCCGCCGGAGACCCTACATCCTCACCCTGGGAGTCATGATGCTCGTGGGCATGACTCTGTACCTCAATGGGGACACTGTTGTAGCAGGTAAGTCGGCTGCACAAGGTGGGCAGACAGGGATATGTGGCCTAGTGTGTACCTCTGCAGGAGGAGAATGTTAATTTGTTTGACCTTTCCTAGAAATTTGTTACAATCGATCTCTCCTAGGTTACAATGAACTTCCCCTTTGACAAATTTGGCCCAGATTCTGTGGTTGGGGAGCCTTTACTTCTAGAAATATCTAAATAAATATCTTTCATTGTTGTGAAGATTTAAAAATAGGATTAAATTTGTATCTATTTTATCAAATCTGTATCTATTTTATCAAATTGAATATTTTTACATATTTATCAATTGAGTTACTTTTTGAGCCCCTTATGCTCTATTTAATACTCTTATCAAATTGACCAGCTGCCAAATAGCTCCATAAATATTTACAATAAATCACCTGTGTATCCAAATGAGTTAATTCTGTTCATAGTTTTATGTGGAGCATTTTAATAGGCAGAGGGCATAAGCCCATCAGCTCAAGAGGACCTTTCTGGCATTGCGAATTCCGGACAAAATCAAACCTGAGGGTAGGCATTTTTTCTAGCCATTAATCAACTACCAATTAATCAGTAGTTGATGGTAGCACAATAAAGTTGCATTGCAAAAAGGATCGCTAAAAATAGCACACATTTTTAGACCATTAACTCTCAAGCCAGCAGAATAGATGATTATGAGGCAGGATAATCAATTATCATTTGTACATACTTCAAAGAATGCGTAAATGTACAAATGTAGGCTATTTCCGGAAGAATGAACAAAAAACTGGCAAGCGCTGTTGACTGTAAGGAGGATTACGAAAGGACTGGAGGTGAGAAGCGGCGGGTAGGCTTATTGTTCATTTAATTTTATACTGTAATTTTTAAAACGTGTAGATAATCTATGCTATTCTTAAGTTTGAAAAACAACCTGAAACAAGAGAAACAACAATGTATCTTTCATAGGAGACTGGGTAAATGAATTACAGGGTATCCACAGAATGAAAATCCAGCTATTAAAAATTGTGAGGAGCTGAAATTACATGAAGAAAGTTGGTTACTGCGTCAGTGCTGTTCAAAGATGTGGCCGCTGACCTGCCCTCAGCATCAGCAGGGGCTGTTAGACATGCAGTTTCTCAGGCCCACTTCAGGCCCACGAATTGAATCAGAGTCTTGGGAATGGGGCCAGCAATCTGTATTTTAACAAGACGTACAAGTGATAGTTCAACATGCCAAACTTTGAGAAGCACTGCATTCAAGTACCATTGTACACCTGTGTCTGCATGTGCAGAAGTGAGTAAAAGGAGGCCTCAAAGCCTGACCTTCAGTGGGGCTGGGATTGGAAGCATCTCCCTCAGCTTTTTTTATATAATTGGAATTGTTTGCAATAAGCATGCATACTTTTTTATTTAAGGAGATATTTTATACACCAGAAATTTCACTAATTAAAAGTGTACAATGCAGTGCCTTTTAGTATATTCACAAGGTTGTGCAACCATCACCACTCTCTAATTCTAGAATATTTTCATCACCCCAAAAAGAAACCCATTACCATCAACAGTCACGTCAGCTTTTCTCCTATGCACCAGCCCTAGGCAAGTACTAATCTACTTTCTGTTTCCATAGATTTGTGTTTTACGGACTTTCGTTGCATAATTTTTAAAACCTGAGAAAAAAAAATAAAGGTATTTTTATTTGGGAAAAAAAGCAAAATAAAAGCAAGGAAGATGATTTCATGGCAAGAAGTTTAGGTGGAAATTACAAAACACGGATGATTCTAAAACAGGATTTAGGAGACCAATGTTTATTTTTCTTTTAGCTTTGATTGCTAACCCAAGGAGGAAGCTGGTTTGGGCCGTAAGTGTCACCATGATAGGTGTGGTTCTCTTTGATTTTGCTGCTGACTTCATTGATGGGCCCATCAAAGCCTACTTATTTGATGTCTGCTCCCATCAGGACAAGGAGAAGGGTCTCCACTACCATGCCCTCTTCACAGGTAGGGAATATTCCAGAAAGTCTGTCCTTCAGCTCCCCAGACAATGAGGTGCTTCCACTAAAGCCATCCAGTGTCCCTACACGTGGAGTTTTTCGAATGAATGGGTCAGTTGATGGGCTGCTCCCGTCACGCGGGCCCTGTCTCCCCGTGCATTTCTCTGAACAGTCAGCTTGTGACTGGTGCTACAGTTTCTGCAAAGGAAGTTTACAGAAGAGCTTTCTTAAGAATGCTTTGTGGAGACAATTACAACTGAAATGAAAAGAAGCCTTGTAGATTGTGCGTTTACATTAGAGCAGTGGATCTCAAGCATCAGCAATGTAGCATCCACATTCCTTAGGAGGTCATTGAAAATACAGTTGCCTGGGCTCCTTCTCCAGTTATTCTGATTCAGTAGGTCTGATGCAGGGCCCAGACATTTGTGTTTTATTTAATAAAGATCCCAGATGATTTTGTGGCAGATGTCCTAAGAACCACATTTAAAAAAACAAAAAGAGAAACAAACCAAGCAAACAAAAAGTTCCATGTCTTAGAGATTTCTTAGTTATATAAAGGATTGGCATTTCCTCAACCTTGTGGTTTGAAAAGGTTCATGCCAGGAGGAAAATGGGGGCTCTCTTGATCTCTTGGGGCTGTTGCCAGCCTACTTTGGTTACTGTTCGTCAACTGTTTAGAACAATGCTACTCAGAGCACCAGTTAGTACTGTGCTAGAACTAGGCATTGAAATATAAGGCGATAGGAGGATCCTGGCCCAAGATGATTTTTATATCTAAGAGGGGGACTCTGTCAGCCCACCTTGTTTGATTGTCTTCGTAGCCCAGCCAATGCATTTATTTATGTTTTGATGTATTCTGTCTTCTTCCATGGCCAGGTAGGTCCATGAAAAGCAAGAGCTCAAGTTTTGCTCACAGTTTCTGTCTCTAGAGCTAAGACTGCTGCCTGCCCGTGGAAGCCATTGGAGTCAATATTTGTCATTTGAGCAAACATTTGAGTAGTTGAATACATGAAGGAGTGAGGCCATTGGAGCACAGTTGGTAGATCCTCCTCTGTGTAGGGAAGGCAGAGGGACAGGAGTGCAGCCCTGTCTGCCACTGGCCCCTGCCCACTATGTCTCCAGATGTTTAAAGGCACCTAAGACATGGCTAGGGCTTGAGACTTCCCCCGCCTCACCTTCGCTCTTTTCTTCCCTTCCCATTGCACTTTCCACCTGTATCTCCTCACTCAGGTTCTCCCACCCCACTGGCCTCCTTCTGTCTCTGGAGTTGGCCCAGCCCATCATACCTGCCCCCAGGGTTTGGCATGAGCTCTTGCCCTGCCTGGGACACCCTTCCCCATATAATCCCATAGTCATGCCTTTATTCCACCGGATTTCTCATCAGATGTCTCTCACCAGTGAGGTCTTTCTTGGCTACCATACCTGACATACCCTACCTACCATACCACTCCTTTTTCTCCTCATCCTTATTAGGTTTGATTTTTCTTTCTAGTGCTTATCACTGCCAGACTAACTGACTGGCTATTTTTTCTCTATCATCTGTCTCTCTCTCTCTCCTTCTCTTTTTTCTTTCTAGTTGTCTCTCCCATTTAGAACATCAATCCTAGCTGAGCAGATCTCTTGTTTTGTTCTCTGATGAATCTTCAGTTCCTGGAAGTGTCTGCTACATAGTAGGTGCTCAGTAAATACTAAACAAACATTTTTCAAATACCCCATGTATGCTAACAACCCTGTATTAGGTATTTTCACTTACATTATCTCAGTCCTGACAATGGCCATGTGGAGGTGGTGTGATTCCCATTTTTCAGATGTGGAAGCTGATCCTTGGAAGCAGTGGTGTGCTAGAGCTGGCTCATGCTGGCTTGTTGAGAATCAATTGCTAAATTTTAGGAATTCAGTGAACTTGTTGACATCACATTGCTGGCTTGAAACTGGCCATGATGGGAGTATTAAAACTCTAGAAATTGGCAAAGCTATAAATCATGGCTTTTTTTTCTTGGAGAGCCAGTTGTTAAATATTTACCCAAAGTCCACCAATTGGAGTAGGGGAGGAGGTTCAGTGATTAAGTCACTTGCCCATGGTCCATAGCCAGAATATCTCAGAATAGATTCCAACTTCATTTCCCTAACCTGAATCTGACAATGCCTTCTGTTTTATTATAATTTGCTGAAATTAATTACAAAGTCATGGGAGCCTTTCTGGCTTCTGAACTGGATATTAAGAGTTTATTGATCTATAGGACATTGGACAATGTGGCCACCACTTCCCAGATTACAACTGTATTAGATGTGGCTAAAAGACCTATGCTTTGTTGCCTCGATATTAGAAAACAAAACTCTGTGTTAGGGAAACTTTTCCAAGGCCAATACATGATAGTATTGTAAACCAGAATTAAAATTCTAACCCCCAGCTAACTGAAAGATCCTTCCTCTCAGCCAAGGGCATCCTAAAATCAATCTGAAATACTAGTTTAGGCCATGATGGGAATGGGTGGTTGGACATGCCTCATTGTACCTCTGTCCCTTTGGAGTTCAAGCACAGTTGATCAGCATTAACATTAAAGCAGAAACTTTAAAACTGACAAAACGGACTGTTTGTAGCAATTAGGTATCAACATGACAACAAAGCGGGCCCTGAAAGAAATAGAAGTATTTTACCCCAATGAAGGGGCGGCCTGCCCCTCCACACCTGTGGGCGTTTCTCGTTAGGTGGAACGAGAGACTTGAGAAAAGAAATGAGACACAGAGACAAAGTATAGAGAAAGAAAAAGTGGGCCCAGGGGACCGGCGCTCAGCATACAGAGGACCCACGCCGGCACCGGTCTCTGAGTTCCCTTAGTATTTATTGATAATTATCTTTACCATCTTAAAGAAAAGGAAGTGGCAGGATAATAGGATCATTATAGGGAGAAAGTCAGCAGTAAGACGTATGAATAAAGTTCTCTGTGACATGAATAAGTTTAAGGAAAAGTGCTGTGCCTTGATATGCATATGCAAACATCTCCATAAACCTTTTTAGTGCATAAAGAGCAACATGGCGCAACCAGCAAGCTGCCTTCAGACACTTGTTTAACAAAGCACACCCTGCACAGACCAAAATCCTTTAAACCTTGGGTCACCACAGCACATGTCTCTTGCAAGGACAAGGTTGGGAGTAGGGTCACAGATTAACAGCATCTCAAATATAGAACAAAATGGAGTCTCTTGTGTCTACTTCTTTCTATATAGACACAGTAACAGGCTGATCTCTCTTTCTTTTCCCCACACCCCAAAGTACATTTCTTTGATATATTTTGAAACGGCCCTGAAAAACTGTCTCTTGTGGGGAAAATCTACCTTCTGTACTCCTCACTCTTCCCTTTCCAGTTATTTTCCTGATTTAGGATAGAATTAACTAAAGTGTCTGACACCTTTTTAAGTCTAATGAGAAATATTTACAATCTATTCTCTCTGAAGCCTGCAACATGGAGGCTTCATCTGTATAATAAGAACCTTGGTTTCCACAACCCCTTATTATTATTATTATTTTTTTGAGACGGAGTCTTGCTCTGTCGCCCAGGCTGGAGTGCAGTGGTGCTATCTCGGCTCACTGCAAGCTCTGCCTCCTGGGTTTATGCCATTCTCCTGCCTCAGCCTCCCGAGTAGCTGGGACTACAGGCACCTGTAAAACTCACCCAGCTAGTTTTTTGTATTTTTTAGTAGAGACAGGGTTTCACCGTGTTAGCCAGGATGGTCTCGATCTCCTGGCCTCGTAATCTGCCTGTCTCGGCCTCCTAGAGTGCTGGGATTACAGGCTTGAGCCACCGTGCCCGGCCTCCACAACCCCTTATTTTAACCCAGACACTTCTATTGCTTCCAAGTCTATAGATAAACTCTTTCAACCAATTGCCAATCAGGAAATCTTTGAATCTTCCTATGACCTGGGAGTCCCCACTTTGATTTGTCCTACCTTTCCAGACCAAACCAATGTACATCTTACATGTATTGATTGATGTCTGATGTCTCCATAAAATGTATAAAACCAAGCAAGCTGTAGCCCTGCTGCCTTGGGCACATGTTTCAGGATCTCCTGGAGCTGCGTCACAGGCCATGGTCTTCATATTTGGCTCAGAATATATCTCTTCAAATATTTTACAGCGTTTGACTCTTTTCATCAACAGTATTTTTATGAGTTTAAGAAAATAAACATTTGAGATTTTCTGTTGATATTAGTATATGGTATGGTGCCAGCAAACATCAATAATTTTAATGTTACCTTCATTCAGGCTCTTACTACATCTCATCTGAGCTTCAGTACTGTTGATGGAAAAAAATTAAAATATTTGAAGAAGTTTATTCTGAGACAAATATGAATGACTATGGCTTGGAACACAACTTCAAGAGGTCCTCAGAACAGTTGCCCAAGCTGGTAGAGTTATAGCTTGGTTTTATATATTTTAGGGAGCTAGAAGTTACAGGCAAAAATATAAATCTATAAACGTAAGGAATACATTGGTTCAGCCCAGAAAGGTGGGGCATCTTGAGGAGAGGGGCTCACAGGTTATAGGTAGAGTCAAAACTTTTTCAATTGGCAATTGATTCTAAGAGTTAAGCTTTGCCTAAAGAGTTGAAGTCAACAGAAAGAAATGCTTGAGTTAAGGAGGATTGTGGAAGCCAAGGTTCTTGTTATGTAGATGGAGTCTCCAGATAGCAAGTTTCAGAGAGAATAGATGGTAAATGTCTCTTTTTGAGTCTTATAAGGTGTCAGTCTCTCTTAAAACAAACAAACAAACAAACAAAAACTATTAAGGGAAGGAGGTTCTCTACAGGAAAAAAATTTCCTCCACAAAAGATGGCTTTACAGGGGCATTCAAAAATATATCAAATAAATATATTTTGGGTAAAACACATTAATTTTCTTTAGGGTTTGTTATATGTCATGTGATGGTATACCAGAGTCAGGTTGGAATTTGGCATCCTATTGCTACAAAGAGTCTATTTTGTATGACAGTCTTATGATCTCTGTTT